AACCCAAATCCGAGACGTGACAGACGCCGTGCACTCGTGAGACGGGTCCCACAAGTGCACAAGGCTCGAAACTTATTCAAATCACAATCTGATACCACAAAATCTCAAGATCAAATTTTTACAATCTGCTCTGATATCATAAAATCTCCAAATACACTCTAGCTTACAGGATCATGACTTATTTCTAAATCTATGTCAATCTCGAAATGGCTAGCCTTCTAACGCGTCACTCCCCTTGATTTCCCCGTCCTCAGTATCGCTTCCTGAAATGGTGGACAAGGAAAACTATGAGATAACTCAGTAAGTAAATATGGATAGCCCCTGGGTAAAACTTTTAACATGCCAGATAAACCATGTAACCATAACAGAACTTTCACTGATAAACCGTTAATGCGGAAATCAAATTCGGTTCAATAACAAAACGTTTCCTGGCAAATCGTTAATGCAGAAGAAAACTTAGTTCAGTCGTCTCATCTATAAGTCATGGCCAGTGTTATAACAACCCACTGGCAGGCGACAGAAATTTGCCAATGTATTCGCCCAATGGCAGGCGTCAGAATAAACCGGTCATATCAGTAAACATGTCGACATGTGCTAGCGTTACACCCACTAGCGGGGATCAGGGATGCTACACACCCACTAGCGGGGATCAGAATTCATGACTATATCAGAGACAAAACCATGTAGGATTACAGAAAAAAACCCCAATTTCACAATCAATCCCGAATTTCAAAACAAACCGAAAAATTTCCATGCGGGCATGGATTTAACAGAAAACTCAACATTTACAAAATTCTCAGTTCATCAAAGCAGTTCAGTCAATTCCCAAATAGGCATGCTCTATTCTAGAAAAACAATGAAATTCTCATTTTCATTTCTCAATCAGGCTCATTTCCAGAAAATCAATAAAATCCTCATTTTCATTCCAATCATGCTCAATTTCAGAAAAAACAAGGAAATTCTCATGAAAATCATCCAAATTCTCATTTCAGTTTAATCACCCTCAGATACTGATAAAATCAATTTAAAATCAATTTACACCTTGCCACCATCTCAAAAACAGTTTAAAACATGCTTTAAAATCGAAGGGCTTTACCATGATTTACTTACCTTACTCGCACAGAACAGAAGGCTAACCCAAGTGCTACGGTGACAGAATGATCAAAACCTAATCACAATATTCCACAATTAATACCACGCTACCACAAATTCAAAGTAAAATCATCATCGGGACTACCCCTAATCACGGTGCTATTTCTATCAATCTTCAGATAACCGGACATCTCCACATTCATTCTTATATCACAAACTAGTCATTTAAATCCCCATTAATTATTGACCCTCGATGTGTGAACAGTGCCTATGAACAGTACCCGTGAACAGTACCCGTGAACAGTAACTGCAATCCTCCAAAATAATCTCACGGGTTTTCTCCAAAAATCACTACAGGCCAACTCAAGCTAATTTTCTACTTAAACCACACTAAAAAACATAGCTTAAAGCTACCAAAATTCATTCCCAATTTCAACAGAAATTCCCGAACAGTACAAGGGCAAATCAAAGGCAGAAAATTCAAGATTCAAGGCAGCAAATCAACGGACAAATTCGGGGTTGGAGGGCTGTCACATACCAGAATTTAACAAGCAAAACCAAGCCTAGCAGGGGGGAGAAGCCGGCGGCAGAGAAAAAGAAATTCTGCAGGGGAACTCGCGGCTATCCAATCCAAAAACCAAAACACAATTCAAGGTAAACCCAAGCCAAATTCAAAACTAAAGAGATGAATTCATGGCTAAATCTTACCAGAAAAAGCCGAAGGATTCAAACCCAGCAGAACCCGACGGACAAGGGAGGAAGAAGCAGAGCAGATCCGGGATTTCTAGGTTGAGAGGGAAGATTCTAAGCCCCAAATCAGTTCTTGAACAAGAAGGAAAGAAGAAATTTCAAGTCTTCTACCGGTTTTCAAAGGAGGAAGAAGTCGGTGGCTTAGGGGGAGCTTCGGGGGGAAGAGTCAAGAAGAAGAAGAAGATGAGGAAGAGCAAAACACGTGGCTGAGGAGAGAAATATCGGCCTTGATCCTTATCCTAATTTCCTTTCTTTTTAGTCCCTTAACTTTTAAAAAGTTTGCGATTAAGCCCCAAAACAATATTTTTCCTCAAATAAGTCCTCACTTTAATGCTAAAATACCCCAAAATTTTGGGATATTACAAAGAGTCCAATAAATTAAAATATATATTTAGTTAAAGAAAAAAAATACACTTGATTGATAAAAATAAAACATGTAAAATAATCGATTTATTAAAAAATGTATTAAATGTACTTATGTCACACCCCAAAATTGGGAGCAAAACAGACACCATACACTTGTGAGAGGATTTCGCAAATGCACAAGGTTCAAAACTTACTTAATTCATATCTAGTAGTCCACTAATTAAGATCCAAATATTGATATAAAATTTGGCTTTATAATCCAAGCTTTTATTAGGCCAAGAGTGCATAAAATTTATACAACTCTATGTCCAAAAATAATTTAATTAATGACCTAATTCTAAAATAATCAAATCCAAAACACAAGTTGCTAGCCTTCTAGATCATCACTCCCCTTGGTTTCCCACATCTCTGGTCTCACTACCTGAAATGGTGGATAAGGAAAAACTATGTGAGATAATTCAATAAGTAAAAATATGGATAGACCTTAATTAAAGTTATAGCATATCAACAAGTGTAATCAAGTATCAAGAAAAATGGGTACAAGTACAGGAATGAAATAGATGTCTCCTCTGTAGGTCATGATCAGCGTTGATAAACCTCCCATTGGCTGGCACAGACATTGATATGAATAATAGGACAAATCAGTTTCCAAGAATACATGTCCACATGTGCTAGCATTTATAAACCTCCCACTAGCGGGCACAATAAAACATGACCATATTGGAGACTAAACCAAGTAGGAGTTACAAGAAATCCATAATTTACAAATGAATTTTAGGTTATCACAATAATTCAGTAAACTTCAAGTAGGCATGCTTAAATCAATAAATGGTAACAACTGTATTTTAAACCAATCATGCTTGTTTTTGTGTAAAACGGGTTTAGTCTCGCCACAACTTCAAAAATAGTTCAAAATTTTGCTTTTAAAACCTTTACCCTAAAATCCAAGGGCATTAACTATAGTTTTACTTACCTCGCCTCGTAGGTAAACAACAAGTAAGAATTCAAGAACTCAAAGGCTGTTGAGGTGGTTTAGAACCTATACCACATTAAATGAATAATTAGAATAGGTTTAAAACAGCTCTAAATGTCACACTAAATAATAGGTATTCCAAACGGATTTTCTAGATAGAATAAGATGGAAAAAATGTGGGAAACCAAGCTCAAAACCATCCTAGACACCAATAGAAATATTGGGTAGCAAAGTGGGGGTTTATGCCAGTAAAAGCAATCCCAAAATACTTGGAAAGAGCCCTGAATAGCAGGGATTTCTAGGTAGAATGACAGCAGCAAAACATGGTAGATTACAAGCCAAAACTAGGTAGCATTCAAGCAAAATGCAGTAGCAAAAAGGCAGCAAAAATAAAGTAATAACAAGGGGTTTTAGAGCAAGAAAACAACAGCTAAAAGTCTACTAAAACCATGATGCAATATGGAAGCAATTAATGTGGGAATAAAGCAAAAAACAAAACAAATTTCTAGGAAATTTCTGGTTAGATTTTGAACTAGAAGTTTCAACAAAATTTGCACCCAAAAATTGACCAATATGGGCTAAATGATCAACATATAAATTGTAGTCCTATGTCTTAGCGTTCTATAGAATCAAGAATCACCTTAACCGATATCGACAAAGAAAGTTATGGCTAAAATAATAACATAAGGTCGGACTGCTAGTTTTGTCCTCTTTTAAGAAATAGAAATTGCAGCAGAGTTTTCACCATGAAAACAGCTTAATTGGGTCAAATGTCCAATAGAAACAGTGTAGGACTATCTCTTAACTTTCCATAGAATCAAGAATGAACTCAATCCAATATTTATAGAAAGAGTTATGAGCAAAACACTATGACATGGTCATGCTATTAGAATTTCTAGCAAAAATAAGAATTAGAGCTGGTGGCACTAGGGCAAAATGAAGGAGGAAAGCTACAAGAAAATCCCAAAATTGAAAACCCTAAAGGATTAAAGTTAACCCAATTCAAATCAAAGATGAAAAAATAAGCAATATGGTTGATTTCTTACCAGAAAGTGTTGGAAAATGACAACCTCCCTTATACTACACAATAACCTAACATGGACTAGAAAAATTGGGGAAGCAACAGCAAGATCTGGGTTTTGATCATCATTTTGAGAATCATAACCTCACAAATCTCTAACTCTTATTAGGAGAAAGAAGGAAAAGTTAAGTTTCACCTTGTTTCTAGCAAGAAGAAGCTGTGCATATGGCTAAGGCTTGGGGAGGCAAAATTTTGGTGAGGACTGGGGGAACACGTAGAAATGGGCAAGGAGAAAAAGAAAGTTAGCCTTAGCCCATTTCTATCACCAAATTTCACTTTTAACCCCCTTAGATTTGTAAATTTTAGCTATTAGGCCCAAAAATAATAATTTTTACCACATAAGTCCCTAACTTAAATTCTAAAATTTGAAAAAAATTTGGGATATTATAACTTATTAATAAATTTGTTATATACTTCTTCTATACCAAAATAACTATCATTTTTTAATTTTTTTCTAAATTAAGTATTTAAGGACAATTTTTATATTTTTCTTTAATAAACCTTTAAAAGGAAATAAAAAATAAGAAAGAGTTTTTGTGATTGGATCATTAATTAATTAAAATGAATGGATAACCATGAGGACATAGAAAAAAATATTTATTTGCCTTAAAAATTTTAAAAAATGATAATTAATTTAAGATAAATTTAAAACAAAAAATTCTTATTTCTATTAACAATTTTTTAATGCTTAAATCAATTTAGAATTTTTTTAATTAAAATATCATTATAAAACATTTAAAATAAAAACTTGCATACTTTTTTATGAATTAATATAAAAAAATAAAAATAATCACCATGCAACGCAAGGGCTAAAAAATCTAGTTACCTAGTATAATATATAGAAGATAAAAATAATTTTTAATGGTTAAAATTAAAATGGAAAAATATAAACTCTTACTTCAATAAATAGAACTTTCATTCTCAATTTCTCTTGTTTTGTTAAACCTTTTTGCTCCGTCAATTTTTTTATGAAATAAAGTTTTTTAATAAAATTATATTAAGATAATAAAAAACAAATACTATAAAGGGATTTCTTCTTCTTAAATAATTTCTTATAATCAATGATTTCAAATATATATCTCAAGATCACCTACTTTTTCACTCAATTCTTTCACAATATAATCAAGATGAAATTGGGTTATATAATTATTATAACAGGCAACACAATCTGTGTTCTTATTCTTTTCATGTAATAAACATTTCCTTGATTAGCTTATCTTTAAATTGCAAAATATTGATACTCTAAATTATAGCAAGAATAAAATTTTTTTGCAGACAAATTTGTTAATATGAATCATTAAAATATCTAAAAGATCAAATGTAATAACTCATAAAATCTTCTCATTGGCAAAACCATTTCAGTACTTAGATAATCCTTATTATCTTTCAAACAAAAAATATCTTACAATCTACATATTACACTTTAATCTTCTAATCTTAAATATTGAATAAAAGTTGATCAAGAAATGCTT